TGTTTCAGTTCTAACTCGGAACTGCTGAGCTCTGAGGAGGTCCGACACAGGAGAGAATCCGTCTCCTGCCAGATCACCACCTCAGCGAGTAGTTGGGGGGAGGGGGAATCCCCAGGGCCTCTGGCCCTGGGCAGGCGGCACCCCTCGGCGAGACAGCCGGATGGTTCTAAAATCAGAGACGCCAAGAGTTTGTTACCGGAAGCACCAGCACCTTGGGTTCACTCGGGAGCAGAGATGGTGGCATACCCGAGGCTGACAGCTCGCACGGGCCGAGGGGTGCTGGCTGAGCCAGCGGGGGCCAAGCAAGGGTGGCCAGGGGCTCAGGTCCAATGACCACCGAGGTGCCTGCGTGTCCAGAGAGAACGAGGACACCCCATGGTCACGGAGCTCTTGGAATTGGGAGTCACACAAGTCCCTGCTTTGAGGGTCTTTATGATCAGAGCCAACAGAGGGGCACAAGTCAGTTCCCAATACTGCCCCCGTAGGACAATCCCAGGGGCCTAAACAAGCCACAGCGACACGCTTAGGCCACTCCCTGCCCCCAAGGAGGAGCCCCATAGCGAGCTGATAAAGGGACTGGTGTGGGCACTACACTCAAGATGAGCAAACACAGGGGCCAGAGCATAGGCAGTGGCACTCCTGGGGGCAGCCGGTCACAAGCAGACCCCACTGAGCACCACCAGTAGAGGCCACCACCCTCATCCCTATGGAGATATGGCCCCGGGGTGGGAGGGCACCTTTGCTTCAAGGACCTCCCTCCCCATGTTGAGTGTGAATGGTGTCTGCTCAGTTGTCCTACCTGCAGGGACCCTCAGGAGTCTTTAGGGAGTCAAAAAACGGGGAGGGGCCACCAAGTAAAGTTGGGAGGGAAGTACTTCTGTCTCAGGGACAGGGAAGGGACAAGCCAGTCAGGGCAGGCGTCTGCTGCAAGGCCTCTCACCAGTGCCAGTCTAGGACCCGGGGGCACAGTATGGCACATTTTCAAGCCAGAGTGTAACGAGGGAGGCTCACTAGTGGGGGGCTGGGGGCATCCGAGGTAGCCTTCGTCTGTGTGTGGGTTCCTGACTCCACAGTACTTGGAGACTGCATGCTGGAGTGACTCGGCCGAGCCGGTACATTCATCTGAGACAGGCAAATGGCAAGGGGCATGCACAAGGGGCCATGGGCCCCCTTCTCACACCACAAGGAGAGCCACACATGCTCTGGGGTCGGGGGGTCAGAGGGCACGGCTAATCTAGCAAACCATGAGGCTACAGGGAACAGTAGCTCGTGGTTTGTTGCAAGTGTCTCTGTGTGGAATCACGGTGACTCATGGCTTGACGGGGGTAGGGGGCAGCCAGCAGCGCCTCCCCCCCGACTTCCATTCTCAGCTACCCAGACTTTTTGTCCATGGAACTGGGAGGAGACACGTGGGGGAGGGAGCTCAGGTGGCTGCGGTTCGAATCCACCAGCTGCTTGGCTTTGTGAGACAAAGTGGTGGCCCTCACTTCTTTAAAGACTGACAGGCTGGGGGAGCCCGGTGGGGCGGGGTGGGTGGGGCAACTCTGCTCTGTCCTGCAGGGTGTACAGGACATCCTCCCCAAAGAGCAGCTCAGGTGGCAGGGTCAAGACAGGGTGGGCAAGGAGGGAGGTCTGCTTTGTCCTTTACGAAAGGCCCACGGGCACAGAGCCCCAAAGTGTAATACTGAAAACTGGCCCCACCAACAAAGCCAGCCACGGAGCCACACCACCTTCATGGCCCCAGTGCTGTGCACAGGCCTTGTCAGGCAGGGGGTGAGGGGGGGATGCGAAGTGAGGAAGGGGTGCAGAAGGGGGTTGTTTGAAGAAAAAACAACCATCATTTCAGTGCAACTGCTTTGAGCTGGAGTCTCCTTCCAGAAGAGCGCCGGTGTGGGTGACGCTGGGTGCAGGCCCCCACCTATGCTTGTGTTAGCGCCGGGAAGCCCTTGCCGGGAGGGAGGGAACAGGCTCCCGGGGGCCTTTGGGAGGGCAGGCTGGGCACAGACTAAGGGGCCTGAGCCCGGAACACCAAAGAGGCTTCTGTCGGCTCTACATTCCCTTTCTCGTGAGCTTGAGATAAGAAGTCACAGGAAAACGTCTTATGGCTTGTTTGGGCCCCTGGGATTGCTCTGTCGGATGGTGTCTGTGCAGAGGCTGAGGAGGCGCCATGGAGACCCTGTCAGCCACTTGGGACGCCAGGACACAGGCCAGCGTTCCCAGGACCTCTCGCAATCTCCAGAGAGGCCGCCCCTGCCCCAGAGGCCCAGCCTTAACATCTTGTATCAAATATAGAATCTTGACTGGAAAACGCCCTTGTAAAAATAAGATTTAAATCACTCGCAGACCAATGTGAGACCCCATGGCTGCACAGCTAAGGGAAAGAAGCAAAGAACAGACAACAGCAACACTCGTCCAGCAAAGCACAGTTGTGGCTTTCACACGACAAAGTCAAACTGGTGGGTGGCCATCAGATGACTCAGAATGGCTGGGGAGGCTCCTGCCAGCCCCCAGGCACTGCTGTCTGCAGAGGCCAAGCCAGACCGGCAGAAAGGACAAGACAGACAGCGACCTTTGTACCTCACCACGCTTTAGAATTGAGCAGATTATCCCCTCCCCATCCCCACCCCTCCCTGGGGTGCCCACAGCCACCCTCGCTCTAATCGCACAGCCACCTCCCTTCCCAGGGACCCTCAAAGGGAGAAGCGCTGCAGGCACAGACCTCTCAGAGCGGCAGGCGCGCACACACAACCCAGAGCAAACGCAAGCCCTCCTACAGAATTAACCAGGGCGCCGGTGCCTGCCCCTGCCATCCCGCAGCTCAGGCTGTAACTGGGAGATGCAGGGGCTTGCTCGCACAAGGGCACTCCCACCCCCACCCCTTAGTCAGCAGCAGAGCCCGTCCAGTGAGGCAGCCTAGCATGGGCCGGTAGGATGGGAACTGATTAGCGAGCCCTCACAGATGTGACAACCCCACCCCTACCCCCGTTGTTCTTCCAGTGTGGTCTGGTGTCTGCTGTAAGCAAGGCACCCCTTCCTTGACTGTAGGGAAGGAACAGATCTGAATGGCCCTGTGCCTCCAGAGACTGCTAGACCCGGTCAGAGGGCAGTGTGGGTGGCTGGGGTGTCCGAGCCTGCAGCATCCTCAAAGGGGCCGTGAGGTGCCAGGTTGCTGTGGGGCGGGGCGGGGCAACACACCCAGAACTGGTTGTGCCCCTGTACTCCGCCCCGCGATCTTACACGGTCTCAAAATTTGGGAGAAAGTGCCCCAAGGAGGAGTCCCAATGGCAACAGGGAAGGGGAAGTGATAATTTATTTACCTGAGAAATTGTGATCACAGCCATGGAATCTCAAAGCCATCTGACGGAGGCCCAAAGGTGTGTGCGGTCCCCACTGGAGGCGAGCATCTGACCCATGTCCTTAGTCTGAGGACGTCCCTCTCAGGCCGGCCAGGCCCTCAGAACCATGGAAATGCAGATGCCGAGGCCCAGCACTGGAGGATGACGTGAGGCCTGGCACCTGTGCACACGCAGTCCCACCCCACCCCACACCCCCGCAGACAGAAAGGTGAGACTGGATACCGCCCCAAGAATGGCCGAGACCTAGCCCAATGCTGGCCCCAAGACTCTGCCCTGGCCGGGCACTCCCAGGGGCGTGGCCAGGGGCATCTACACCTTCGGAGGACACGAAACAGTGTCAACTGCCCGCCAACAACTGGGACTGGCCGTCTCTCAGAGCACACTCTCGAAAGCCAAAGGAAAACCAATCAAAAAAACCCAAACCAAAACACAGCAAGAAGAGACCAAGGTACCGAGGACACACGCCCATGCACACACACACATGCCGAGAAAACAGCTTCACAAGTAACTGCCACTCTGTCAGCTCCACCCCGCCCAGGCAAGCGGCTCCTGGGGCTGCCCCACCCCCAGTGGGGACAGACATGGGTGTCTACTCCAGCAGGAGGTACCCCCCACCCCCTGCAGGGCTAGGGGTACAGGGCAGGAGGACCCAGCGGGAACAGGGGTAGAGCACAGAGAGCACCAACAACACTGGCTGGGAGTGGTTTGGGGGGTGCCACCCCCTCCCTCCGAGCTCTGTAGGGTTTTAGGAAAGTAGTGTACAAAGGGCAGACACCCCCCACCCCCATCCCGTTCAGCACAAACACAACTGTCTGTCCTCCACCCCTACCCCACCCCCTTTACCAGCGGTCTGATTTACAGATTGGCAAAACTCATTTCTGGGCCCTTGGCCGTGCATTCTGACACAAGTGTCCAGTCCACCACCGGCTGACACCCCCCACCCCAGGTGCCATCACCCCCCTAGCGATCGCTGTCTGTGGCCGGTGGCTATGACCCTGGGCGTTTAGATCCTATGAGACGTGACTGGTTGTAAGCACACAGGGGTGCCTCTCGGGAGCACACGTAAATCCCACGTGTGCTTGATTGGCCAAGTAACTCGGGGGTGGGGCGGGAGGGGCAGGGACAAGGATGTGGGGGCATGGCGGGGAATGTCCCTTCCATGGCAGCTGCACGGAAGGCTGGGGGTAAAGGGGGTAGAGGGCAGACGACCAGAATGCTCCTGATAGGCTCTACCGGTCGCAAGAAGCACCCCGTCGTAGATAAAACCTAACACAACAAATCCAAAACCAAACCAGGAAAAACCAAACCAACAACAGCTTCTACATACCTATCACATTAACACTGCAAATCAGATATATATTTTTTTCCTCTCTTACATTAAAGACATCAACAGTGAAAAAGGATTGTACTGTATTTATCACCACAGACCCGTATTCGTAGAAACTTTGGAAAATAAATGTCACAGTCCTAGAGGACAAGTCTGACGATTAGACTGTCAGAACTCTCTCTTTTTCCTTTAAATACACTTTTCTGACAACGGCACTTGCCCACCAATCTCTCTGGATTATAAACACCTTCTCCTCCTACCACTGCCCCCAAACTCAATCTGAGACAGGGCGACACAGGCAGGTAGGAGGGGGGCACTGCGGTCGCCACCCCCCCCACCCCCCACCCCGGGCACAGTGCCCTCCCGGGACCCCACCAGGGTCACTGTGACACCCACCGCAGTGACGACACGGGGTGGAGGGTGGGGCAGGAGGAGCTCTGTGTTGTTCTCATCTTGGGGGTCCTCACAGCTCGTTGGAGTCCACCCGCGTTCATGGAGGGCCACGGGTCAAAAGACATGTTAACTTGAACGACCAGATACATTAAAAATGTTGTAAAGCCCTGAGTTTGTCGATTGGTTTTAGGAGAACTACCTTTTCCCTTTTTCTTTTAGGAAACACGGACTTCTATTTTTAATAAGCAGCTTATAGATTTTGGCAAACCCTATTTCCTACAACACTGGGGGGAAGGTGGCGGGCGGGGGGTGGGGGTCTCATACAGGTCTGCAGTTCAAAATCCGAGTTTGAAATCTGGGACGAAAGGCCTCCTGGGCCGTGGGAGTCTGGGAACGCAGGGGCGTCTCATGGTCCAAGGCTGGCTGTCTCGGGGGGCTGGGCTGTTGGTCTGAGTGTAGCTGGTCTCGTGTGAATCCAACTCGGTATGCCGTCGCAAGCACTCGGACACGTCAGGCGAAGTACATGGTGCGCAGCGTGTCCTGGTGGACCTGCACGGCCTTGGCCAGGGCCTGGTGGTCTCGGCCGTTGCTCTGCCCAGAGGTATGGCTTCCTTCCGCACTGTGGGGACAGGGCGGACTCGTGAGTGCAACCCAGCCCACCCCAGCAGCCGCCCGTCCTGCGGGGCCTGCCACTCACCTGTCATGCTCCTTGTCCACCAGGTGGTACCTGGCCCGGAAGGCCACCAGATGGGCATAGTAGGCAGGCGCAGGGATGGACACGGAGCGCGTGCAGCGCACGTAGGTGTGGCACAGCTGGTAGGTGAGGACCTGCAGCTCGTCGGAGGAGAACCGGTTGTCGTCCCACAGGACGTGGTAGTGGGAGGGCCGGCTTGTGCCCTGTAGGCACAGTGCAGGGTTGGCAGGGGTTCGAGAGCCAGAGATGAGGGCACCTAAGACCGCGCGCACACACACAGGGATCCCCTCCCAGGGCCTGCTGCCCGCCCAGCCCTGGTCCTGGGCAGGAAACGCCCTGGGTCAGAAGTAGCAGGCAGAGCGCCCTTGCCCTGAGCAGCCCAAGGCCTGGTTTGCTCACTGCTCACTGTCTCTGTGAGCCAGAAGGTCAGCTTGGGGTGGGGGTGAGGGGGGCGGGGGAGAGTGAGTCAGCATGTTCACCGCATGTGCCCCAGCCCCAGGGTTCGCGAGTGTGTGGCTGACAGTGGTGAGGCCCTGCACTGTGGCCGGGGCTGTCCTCACCTGGATGCCGGCGTGGCTGCACAGGTAGAAATCAAACTCGGTTGGGTGGGTGATCTTTGTGTCCACAGTGGTGCCTGCTGGGATGTTTCCACTCTTCCCGACCTGCAGAGACACGGGGCCTCATCAGACAAGCCAGGGCCCCGGGCAGGGGCAGGGGGGATGCACCACTGCCACTGGGTACCAGAAGCAGCCTTGTTTCTATGTCTCTACATTGGTCAGTGCACAAGCTAAGGGCCACCGAGTTACTGAGCCACGGCAAGAGTAAGCGTCATAATTGGAATGGCGGGACTGCCTGCACGTCCTAGGAGCTGGCCCTGGTGCTGTGCGGTCACACTCCTCTTAGCACACATGCTGGAGGCCGGGGGTCAACACAGACAACGATGGCGGGGGAGTTGGCGCCCTAAGTGGATTGGTGTGGCTGCCTGCACGTCCCAGGAGGAAGCCCTCGTGTCACACAGCCAGCCAGGGCTGGGAGTCAGTGTTCTAATTGGAACAGAGTGGCTTCCCACACTTCCCAAAAGGAGCCCGGCAGGGCGGTGGGGGCACCCCGCTTACAGAGGGACCTGCACTCCCAGGATCCTCCTGATGTCTGTGGTTTCCTGACGAGATCAGGACAGGCACTCTCACGTACAGCTTACAAGTCTGCAGCCTCTCTGGATGATGGACACTTGCCGGGTGGACACTGGTCTATGTACATATGCACCCAAGCCCAATGGGCAGGAAGGCCCAGAAACTGCCAGAACACAGCCCTTTGGGGCGACCGAATTACCACCTAGAGAGCAGACTGCCTCAGCTGGAGCCAGCCGAGAAGCAGGAGGGTGGCTACAGACACCACAAAGGCGAGAGACCCCCTGGGTGCCATCCAGGGACGTCTCAAGCAACCACTGATAGAGGCAACGTCCTGTACCCTCATCTGCCTGGGGCACCACTGGTCTGCTGCCCCCACATCCAGTCCAGCCCACAGAGACCCGACAGCACAGGGTGCAGCTGCCCCGGAGGGCCTCTGAGACTGTGCGTCTTTGTCCAGGAGCAGACAGCCTCATCTTCCTCCTGGGGAGCTCCGGCTGGTGGGTTTGAACCACTGATCTTTTGGTTAGCAGCTCAGTATGAGCCCTCTCCACCACCAGAGCTCCTGAGTAAGTGTACACGTGGTCATGAAAGCAGCTGCCCTGGCCTCTGCTCAAGGAAGCAGTAAGTCTAAGGGTCGGTCCACATGTACCGCAGACCAGGAGAAATTAGACGGTGCCCATCTACCGCCACCTCTGACCAAGACCACCACACAAGACTCCAGTAGAATGGGTAAATCATAACAACAACAACAAAGCAACAACCCCAAATACCTAATTTAAAATAAGGAAAACATAAAACAAAACACCTCCCCTCCCCCAAGACTTGCTGGTTTGAGAGTAGAGCAAGGGTGACAGGCCCTCTCCCCACCAAGGCCCATTTGTATGTTTTCAACATCGTTCTTGGGCCAGACTGGTCAAAGGGTTCGTGAACTCACCCCTAAGTGAAGGCTGGAACAGACTCTTTGGTGGGCGTGTGATGTTAAGCTGGTGAGGGTGACCGCCAGGATCGTTGGTGGTGTAGTGAAATGCAGGCTGGGTTTCTAACTGTAAGGTCAGCAGTTCAGAACCACCAGTCTCTCCTCAAGACAAAGAGGGGGCTTTCTACTCTCACCAAGAGTTACGGACTCGGAAACCCACAGGAGCAGTTAGTTCCATCTGACCTGTCCTACAGGGTGTGTTTGGATTGGGCATCTGGCCTTGGGGTTAGAAGCTTCTTTACGCACAGCTCAGAGGAGCCCTCAGGACTACGGCCAAGACCCCTCTGACTTGTAATTGACGGCATGACCCCAAACCCACATTAACCCTGCAAAGGACATGCTCTTCGGATGGTATGCTGTCCAGAGCCGAGGACACCAACAGCCCCCAACCACAGAGGGGAAGGCAGGGAGGGGCAGGGAAGCAGGAGGCCAGAAACGGGGCCCAGGGGAGGTCCCTGGAGTCAGTGACCAAGGTCACTAACCATGGTCACAAACCGTTCCCACGGAAGCCGGTGGGTGGAAAACTCATTTGCCATGTTGATGTATAAGTCACAGCACAATCAAACGCTAACAGGAAATGCCACCGCTACCTAGCTGCCCCAACTCTCCACCCCCAACACCAGACAGCTCCCAGCCCAACAGACCCCCCAAGCTGGCGTTGAGCGGCCTTTTCAAGGATGCACACAACACCGGCGTCCTCCCCACTCCTCCCCTCAGGTGCCTCCCGTTCCACAAAAATGCCCTCTTTGGAAGCAGTAGCGCCCAAGCATCCCTCCCTCCCCAATCCCACCCCCTGAACTTCCAGCTTGTTACTGCAGGGTTAGCCTTTACGATTCCCCCGGCGGAGCCCTCTGACGTAGCGGGTTCCGGGTCAGGCTGCAAACCGGAAGGCCAGCAGTGGGAACCCACCAGACGCTCCGTGGGAGAGAGATAAGCCTGTCTCCTTTTGCCAAGATTTACAGTCGTGGGAACCCTTGGGGGCAGCTCTTGTTGACCCTATAGAGTCAGTAGGAGTCAGGGTGGACCCAGGGGCGGTTGGGGTTGGGAATTTCCCACACGCTTGTGTTATTTTTTGGTGTATGCTTTGTACATAAGCGTCTATAAGCTATCAGGCAGAACTGAATATTTGTGGGAACTGGGAGCGCCCGCACCCCACCCCTCCACCCGGCTGCTGGGAGACTGAAACAGCTGTCTTATGTCAGACCCTTATCAAACCTAACCCAATCAGACACCAGGCCTGAGCGCTATATTCTCTTAAAGATCTACCTGCTCAGGGGCACCCGGGAAGGCTGGGCAGGAGCCTTAGTGAGTCTGTGGACTTGCGGGAGGGGTTAGGATGAGAACCAGCACACAACTCAAAGGCTTACACCTGGAAGTGGTTAGATTGGTGTCGGATTTGCTGTGTGTGCGCTGTACGAGAGCAGACACACACACACACACACACACACACACACACACACACACACACTCTGTCGGATTTGCTGTGTGTGCACTGTACGAGAGCAGACACACACACACACACACACACACACACACACACACAC